TCCTCCTCCATTTTCGCGGAGGATTCGCGCATCCGGTCTCCTTTTCGCGAGGGATCGCGTGGCGCTTCGGCGGCCGGTCGAGAGTTTTAGCCGGCCGGCGATCGTACCGATTCCTCTCATTGGCCGAGAACCGGCGGTTCTACCGCTTGCTACCCGCAACAAGACTCTTTGTCCGTTTTTCGTTCGTCCCGACGAGCGACGCGACGAGACGAGCGGCGCGCCGCGAGTTAGTTATACGAGAGTGCAGTCGGGGATCTTTCGGTCGTCGCGCCGGGTGCGATTATCGCGGGCCTCGCCTTCGCGAATTCGATCGTCCCGATGTGCGTGCGTGCGTGCGTGCGTGCTCTCCTCGACATTATTGCGTACGTCGCGACAGAACCGCGCGGGTTCGCATTTAGCGCATTTAGCGCTGTCCCGCTTGTCTTGGCAATTATTAATCTGTATAGCGTCAGATTTCGCGCATTCACGATCTTCTGGAGCGACGAGAATGTCGTCTTATATGCCCGAAGACGGAGAGGTATCTTTTTTTCGTTTCCAATCAGCAAAATGAGATTTAGCTGTTGCACCTATATCAGGTATAACGTTGATAAGAGCGAGCAGGTACGTTTAGAACAGATAGTTCTTGTTGTTCTCTCTTGGATCGGTTCAGATTAGGATGTGATCTTTTCCAAAGTATCGTAAAATGTGAATAAATTCGGGCTCCTTAAGATTGCTCCTTGTTTATGGAGACGTTACATTATAGAATTCCTTTTTATTTCTTTTTAATATAGATCTCTATTATGTGTATCCTCTGTTTTTTTGCAATAAAATATTTTAAAATTATTAAGAAATCTTTTATGATAAATTTCTATAAAGTTTTTTTTTCTTAACTTTTTTTACGTTTGCAATATTTTACATCTGTATTTTAAACAATATTATGTATGTTTTGAATTGTATTGTCAATATAAATGATCCAAAGCACATATTTTTATATTTTAAATATACTATTGTCGCGTGAAATTAATCGACGAATATATATTATGTATGCGAAAGTATCTGATGTTGCCCAAGGACGAGAGAAAAAATATAACGCTTGATACACAAGTTGGATAAGCGATCAAGAAATTAGGTAGGCAATTTATTTTAGTTGCCAATAACAATTAACTCATTTAGGAGAAAGATAATTAATTAAAAAATTAATAATATTTTACATGAAATTACATAAAATTATTTTATAATGTTCTCCACCTTTTTTATACGTGTACATGTGTAATATTTAATTATTTAAATACTTCATTTTGAAGATCGATTAAGAAGAGAATTGATCGAGAAAATCGATTGCGTGGATCATAGAACAAAGTTTGTCGAAGTTCGCACATATCGATGATGCAATTTGTTTTCGATCGCGCCACCCGGTATATGCGAGACGGTTCTAGTCTCCCGAGGATCTCGACTTCTTGCGACGACCTTCAGCGCCGTATCACGAAGCCGCCGAAGAGCATTGTACCCGCGATCGGCGGGTACCGGCTTTTACTCCGCTCTTCGTTGCATTTCGGAAAAATCGAAACCCCGACTTGGTTCGAAAGGGGCGGTCGTTAAGCGGCTCTCGAGAAAAAATAGACGCGAAAGGGAGTGCCCAGACTAACCTTGACCTTGAGTATACTTGCTATTCTGGCTCTTATGGCTCGTGATAGATTACGAATCTTTGCATTCGTCTTCTCGTCCCTCTCGCGGCTTTATTTTATAAAGGAAACTCTCACTATCAGAGCGATAAGTCGTAATTACGAATAGTAATTAATACGCCTTTCTCTCTATCTGAATTTTTTTATTCTCCAGATTCATCAGGTATACATCGCTCTTCTACTACTGAGTCAATTTATAATTATATCTTTCCTCGATATAATTACTTCCCGTAATTAAGCCTCCCCAAATAACGTACGCGTTTCACTATGCAACGTACAGGTGTTCACACATGCAGGATACACGCATCTCTCTCTTTCTCCCGTTTATAAAATTTCTCCCTAAACTTATCAAATTAAGCTAATTGTTCCTCGTAGATCTACATGCGCGATACGATAAGTTACAAATTAATTTTCGTTTATTATGTTAAAAAGAGTGATTAAATCATGCATACATTTCTCGAGCATTGTCTCGTCTCGATTCAATTTTTACGCGAAGCAGAAAAAAGTCGCGCCTCTCGCGTATGACTCGGACGATCATTAGCCTCGCTATGGTATAAATCGCGTTTTACGTTATGCGATCGAAAAAGTCGTTCGTATCGAAAAGGAAATCGGCTCGAGACCGGCCGAGAGGGAATGGAACCCCTCTAGACGGACGCACGTATGTCCGCCTCGCCTCGCCTCGTCTCGCGCGCGGACACCGCTCCGGTCAAGGTCGCAGTCTGCGCGCTTAACGTTCTTTTTGCACGTTCCCTTTCCCGGCTTGTACCCGGTGTCCCGCGTGAAACCGATCAGTCGGCGAATCAGCCGGAAAGGATGGGTTCAATGACGTGCGTAATTCGATTCTTGCGACGATCTTGGACAACGCTTTCCCTCGGACCTTCTTCACCTACGGTCTTTTCCCTCGCGGTGATTTTTTAAGACAGTTTTCCTTGAAAAAGAGAAATGTACGAATTTTTCGTTTTTTTCTTAATTAATCCGCGAGAATGTTAGATTTTACGGTCATTTTACTTCTAAATTTATTACAATTTCTATCTTACTATCATTCTATTAGACAGGGTGTCCTAGACCACCCGTCTACCCCTTTTCTTTCAAAAACTAAGCATTTTAGAGAAAAATGTTTTCGACAAAAATTGTGTGGTATAATTTTGAGGTATAATTGTATATTTTATGGTTTATGTAAAATTGAACAATTATTTCAACCCTCATAACTCGGAAAGTACTTGATGAAAAAATACTTTATTATAGTGTTTTGGAAAGCTCTTGACATAAGCTATAAGAATATGCAATAAAAAATAGGTGGTTCCATTTAAGAAATTAAAGGTGTCCTTGACCTGATCTTAACGATGCCATCCAAGGTCAAACTAATGATACCATCTTATGTTCCCCTCAAAATCATACAATTTTTGTGGAAAACGTTTTTCTCTAAAATGCTTAGTTTTTGAAAGAAAAGGGGTGTACGGGTGGTCTAGGACACCCTGTATAATTTTTTATATAATTTTATATTTTATATTTATTATATAATGTTTATAATTATTATAACTTTTTTTTATAATTATTATTATTATTTTTTTATATTTATTATAATTTTTTTATCTTAATATATGTATCATATTTTTATTTCTAAATTTCAAAAATTCTCTTCTAATAATATATCTCTTGCTTAAATATATACCTGCTAAATTCACGTTTCTTTTGCTATCTCTTTTGTTTCTTTTTAAAAATCTTCCTACACAATTTCGTTAAAAAATTATGTATATGTATGTATGATTAAATTTTTATAATTGTAAGTATAATTATTCAGCGGAATTATTTCATCACACAGCAACAGATTTGCAGATTAAACAATACATAACAGACATAGATAAGATAGTAAGATTGAAAAAATATTCATCTACCGAACGAAACTAGTACCAAGTGTCATCGTAAAAAAAAATCTCTTGCGTACGAATGTTCAGAGATATCCTATAATGTTTATATTCTATATTTTTTGAAATATTTTATATTGTTTTTAAATGTTTTATAATGTCTATAGGGCGAATTTTTGAGCGAATTTCGATATGCGACCTCCTATTTCCGATGCACCAAAGCGTAACATCTAAGACGTTTCGATTATATTACAGCGGTGATATGAGAATTTTTTTTCATGAGTACAATGAATTTTAATACGCGTCTCAAGGCCTGTCGACGAAGGTACGTATGAAGCAGGATTATACGAGACTATATATATATAGTATATATACGTATATATATCTATATACATATACAGGATACTGTGTCGAGGCTTGGTAACTCCACCACCGTTGGCGGAATCCGACGGCCAATGGGGTACGAGTTTCCTTCTCTCGACGCGAAAGGCACAGCTTATATTATATATTTACAAGCAACTAATTATGCAGCAATGTTTTAAAATCTTTCAAGAGCATATACATGTCGCTATCGCACGATACCGAGAGTTTGTTTGCGCGAGTAAGTAGTCATTAATGAGGACCAAGTATCGCTACCGCGATTAAGTATGATGGCGGATCGATTATGGCGGATTTTTCACGTATTCAGGTGCAAGCTTGAAGAAAAATAGGTGGGGGTAAAAATATCCGACGCTAATGGACAAGAATATATTTATATTTGTAATGTCGGAAGAAAAGTGTATGTGTCTCATAATTTAAAAGATGACAAAAAAAAATAATGGAGAGATACATACAAGTAATTATAGATTTATCTCTAGTACTCTATAAAGTTAGATAATATTTAATTTACAATTTTTAATGTTTATTTTCTTTCTCTTATTCTATTCTTTTCGTTGTTTTGTTTATTTTCTTATTATTTAGACTTATGTAAAATACATATAAGCGCAGAGTTGTCAATCGATGGCCAATGATAGATCGCGATATGATTAGAAATGTACGAATCTTGTCAGTTCTTTTATTAATTCGCGACAATATTAAAACGATTATTATGGGAAGGGCCATCTTATTTATTTCTACGTGCACTATTAATTATATTTAAAAATCTTTCTTGATTTATATTACTTTATTGTTTATTCAATTATTTTACTAGTAATTCATTTAGTATTTAATATTTTAATAGTAATTCATTTAATATTTAATATTTTAATAATAATTCATTCAATATTTTATTTATTTTTTATTTATTTATTTTTATTTATTTATTTTATTTTTTTAGTAATTCATTCAGTGCAAAAAACAAGTACAATTAATAAATTTCTGCAGTATCGATCGTTGACATATATCGACCGTGACGCTTACCATCTGACAGCTGGCGCGTGATTCCTCTCGCTTCCGCGAGGGCGCGCTGTCGCCGCACCGAGGTCGGTTCCCACGCGATTGCGCGTCAGTTCGCAGATGTTCACGAAGTAGCGTTGTCGACGCGTGCGAGAGGCGTAAGTGTTTTGGATGTCGTTGTCATACACGACGGCGGCAGGCATGTCCAGCTCCCTGACGGTTTCCCTGTTGCTTGTCGTCGCACTGGCAGACCCGGGTCATCCCACGCGACGCACGGTGAGTAGGAATTTATTCCACGAAAGGACGAGGCGTTCGCGATCACAATAGAATGTCGCGAGGAGAGAATCGCATGTGTGTGATTCATCGCGCGACTTTGGACCTTTTCAAAGCGCGGTTAAGACCTTGGATCATTCTGTAGTCTTTGTGTTATTGACAGCGGTTCGAAAAGCAGATCCACCTTGTTTACCTTGTATATTAACCTCTTTCACTTCCTTTCGACCAACGAGATTTTTTTCCGAGATTTTGATTGTCGAGAGAATGTGCGTATCGTCGCGCGTAGAAGCTTATTACGATTTCGTTCATTAATAAGCAGGTGGATTCATTGATAAATTGGCTGCTCGCGCAGCGGCTGATCGGATAAGTGCCAACCGGAGTGCGACCTAAATCGCTCGAGATCTAAGGGCACGGTCGATCGCGCGAGGATGTTAAATTATTAATGATAATGTGGATTAAAACGATATATTCTCTCGGTTAGGTATTTTGAAGTTTTTTAATTTTATTTTTTAATTTTATGTCGCATGTGATTTCTACGCATAATCTCGATATAAAGTATAACATTACGCTTCGATACGGGAAACTCGGTTTGGAGTTTCGGTAATCTTATCCAATATTTTGTTTCCTGCGTTTATTGACATTGTTCCCCGCATAACTTTTGAAACAAGTTACTTATATGACAATTATATTATCAATATTTTTTATCATTAAATATTTATTATCAATATTTTTTATTATCATTAAATATTTATTATCAATATTTTTTATTGATCATTAAAAAAATATTTTTACAAAAATAATATAAAATAGTTAAGAAAATTAATAATAATAAAATAATAATAAATAATAAATTAATAATATAAATTAATAAAATTAATAATATCAAAATAATAATACTAAAAGATATAAATTTCACATTAATTGCAAATAATTGATCTACAAATTGTTTTTAATTATAGCTATAAATTAAATAATAATCATTGATATATAAATTGTTTTTAATTTTATCTATAAATTGTTAAAATATTCGTTGCATTTCAAGATATCCGTGATTGCGTTTCGATGCTATAGTTTGCTTAACATCTTAAATTTATAATAAACCTAAGTATCGATCTCAGGAGTGGATAAATAAATAAATATAAACCAACCCGCAAAGTTGCACGTGCGATATAACTGTGTTAAAGTTCTTTTGAAAACGGAACAAGAAAATCTGTCGTGTGCGAAATATATTCATTATTTCATGTGCGATACATCAAGATCATTTGTGAATTTTAAACCGGCAAGAAAAAAATTTATACATACATAGTAATAATCTGTAATTATTTTATATTATTAAATATGAGATTATTGATATATTACAGTAAAATATATAATTAAATTTCTCAAACGCTCCAGAAACTTTTCCAATTTTAGTAAATTCGAGTATCGATCTTAAAGAGTGAATTAATAAATAAATATAAACCGTGAAGTGACACGATATAATTATGTTGAGGCGCGAAAAAAATTTATCGTGCGCGAAATATATTCATTACTTGTGGAAAATTATTTTCAAATTTTTTATTTATAAAAATCGAACGATGACACCTTTAACGTGTTGATGTTAAGTATCATTCGGTTTTTTTCTCGAAACGAAAAGATAAGATGCAATTCATTTCACACGAGTCCACGAAGCAAGATCATAGATTAACGCAACACATAATCGCGTAATAAACGACATTTGCGTCTATTGTGTAAGCTCCGCGGGGGCTCGTACGATGCAAGGCCGTCGACCACGCTATCCGTCACTGATCTAGGTCATCCATCCGTTAAGCGTCGTCTATAATCGTCGTACATCTGCGATCTGCTATTATAAAACGCTCGATTTATTTATCCGTATCAGTTACGCTCGAGGCTGAATCCGGATTGCGACGAGACGTGCCGAGGGCGAAACGTGACGACGCTCCACCTGAGTGCCGATGGACCGAACGACACGTTGCATTACTTGTGGGATTTCATCGGCAATCCGTCCGTCCTGCTGGCGCTTACACCTCCGTCCACCTCGCTCAACATCAGCTGGGAGGATTATCTCGCGAGGCGAGAGAACTCGGTCCATTTTTCCGAGAAACCCACCTACTCTTTCGGCATGATAATAAATAAGGTAATTATAATTTTCCTTCTTGTATTTCCTGTTTGCGAGAATTTGTTGCGCAGTAACTTGACTTGTCGTGTGATTAAAAAGAATATTTATTCTGTCACGTTAGCGTGATAAATTATTAAAAAGAAATTAGTGAAATTTATTTTTTATTTCGTTGATCGAAATAATTGATTTTGTGAAGACGTGTAAAATTAATTCTGGAAATTCTTCTCCGAGAAATTGAGTAAATGTGAAAACGTTGATTCGATTCGATAAAATAGATAAGCGACAAGATATGTACAAAACGAGTGGTTGATAAATTTTATTCATAAAATTGTTGACAGTTGTGATTGATAGAATTCGGATTGATAGAATTTGATGGAATGTATGAATTAAATATAGAAATGTGTTATATAACGTAAATACATGGAGATAAAGATTCTAAATAAATATATTCTCTCTCTCTCTCTTTTATAAATAAAAGATTTTATAAAGAATATATAAAATAGAGAATATATAAAAATAGTACGTTAACGGTATTTGTTACTACGATTTTCCCTCAAACCAGAACATAAATCCATGTGAGTGACATAAATCCACTCATCGCATTCTCCTTCGCCGAGTGTGGAGGATATATCTGCGGTTTCTTAATTAAACCTTTGCACTTTAGTGCCTCCACTTTGTAGAAACACCTCCTTTAGTCGAGTGTCTTCTCTCTCTATTTCTCTTTCTGAAAACATACATATCTCTCTGTGCGACTTTATTATGTTGAAATGTATGTTTTAATGTACCATGTATTAAATCGCAGAATACGAAAGCTTTATTAAATTTAAATTAAATTACTTGAATTTCTAATAAAATTTACAGCGTGTTATGATGTCATATCTTCATTTCTCGTTCAATAAATTAATTTTGCACTATTAGCATATGAAACAAATTTCGAGTGTGCGAGATTAATCCTTTGCACTGTAAAATACATAGTCGACTATTGAAAATTGCTTCGCGTTATTCGGTTGATGGGATTAATGGTCGCGTACAAAGCAGAATGTCCATAGCAATGAGCAAACAAGCTTCTGCGATCGATCGAATGCATTTGTCGAAAATTTCGAGCGCGATATCAACAGGATTGTGGTTTAATTCAGTTAATTTTTATCGGCTTTCATGTGCAGCCTCGCGCGTGCGAGAAATTGCGATTATATTTATTTAGATTTAATTTAGATTTAATTGCGCACCGTCGAATGATACGATATTTCTTCAAATAATTACTACGAATTTTACATCAGTAATTAGATGGTATTTATTTATACGTAGCTTGGCAAACAGTTGGATGATGCTACAGTAAATTGCATTACACTATGTTGCAGATCATCGAATTCAACGATGTAAATGACACTGCACTAATCGACACTGCCGACATCGCTAATATGAACGTTTTGCATCTCGAGTATTTCAACTGGCAGCGCGTGTCCTTAACGCAAAACAACGATTTCGTCTACCTGAATATGGAGGGTAACTCTTATCACGATACAGCTAAGAATATCAGCAGATATGGGAGTATAAAGCTTTCGGTAAAGTATTTTGCAGCATTGAAGAGAAAATGTCGGTAGTATGTAGCGAAAAAGCATGCAAAAAATATCATCTATAGCTCAATTATAAGCTCTTGTGAGTAAAAAGAGCAAATTTCATTTTAAATCTAAATTGATAAATATCTGGTTTCCTTATCTTCTCCTTGTGATATAAAGCGCTTGTATCTTTGTCCTAAACGCTATAAGTATTTGTAAGCTTTTTTCAAAACGCTAATATCTTTCTCCTTTTTACTTTTCAGCTTCGGGGATTCTGCACTCTCGATCACGCGGATATAGTGCCTCATATGTTACACACGGAAAATTCTACGCAGATAGACATTATCTTGGATAATTTGCAGACCAACGAAACCTTTTCCAACAGTAGATTCGCTATTGAATTACTCATGGTTGGTGGTGGTGATCCTGATATATTAATGTTCGTTGATCCGAAAAAAAGTCTCGATGACGAGCATACACCAGGTATATTCGAGGTAATTATAGACGTTTATTATTTTAATCTCTTCTCTCATCGTTTTTTCATCTCTTTTTTATAATTGATAAAGTTTTATTAATAACGTGTATTTTTTATTATGATTTTCTTCAGATTGTTGAAGTTAGAACGCCACCTTACAGAGAATTAAACGGTGCATTAAATGGCGGAGCGTATTTGCAATGGCGACCAGTGTCGTACAACAGCGCGTTACGCGATGTAACTAGTTCTACAGAGACAATGCAATATTCACCAAAGAGAATATCCAAATATACCAACGCTGTTAAAAATTCGATGCTCTATTGTTATTATGGAAATGCGACGAATCTTCTTTTACAAAAATTAACAATTTCTTTGGGTTCGAAAGGGGACGGTTTCTACAAAAAGACGAACTATTTAACATGGTGAGTTGTTGATTGCAAGGCTTTTATCAATTTCCAAATTTTATTCTGAAAATTCTATGACGAGTCCTAAAGAGATAAGAGAACTTGTATAACTTTTTGGAGAGATAAAATGTTACGTTCTAATCTTATATTGCAGGACTTTTATAATCGGTTATGGAACACCACCCGAGGAGAGATTTTCTTCTCTAGTCATTATGATTATCTCGATTGGCCTTGGCCTTCCTTTGCTCATCATGGTCATCACTGGCCTGTATCTTTGCATTCGTAGAATGCCGAAGCAACATGGCAATGTTTATTTAAGTCGATGAGTTCGACGCACGTGCCATGTAGTTTTTGCGTACGCTGCGCGTTTAGATATATTGCTATATCATATGTACCACTGTTGTACACGAAGATATATTCCTATATTTATATGCGACACAATATATATATTTTTACACGAACTGTTAGCCCGGATCTGACATCAGTGTGATAAGCACGAGTGATCTGTTCTCTCACAATTTATTTAACATTAAACGAGGCGTTTGTGTGGTTGTTCTTTTATCTTAAGATATATGTGGGATTAGGATATGTGAGAGAGATTAAAATCAACCACATTTGTTTTATATGCTATGAGAGGACAGCGTGTTAATTTGTGCAACGAAACATTGAACTTTTATAGCTAATTTGTAATTGAATGCGTTTATGTGTGTGTGTGTGTGTGTGTGTGTGTGTGTGCGTATGCGTTTATGTGTGTGAGCGCGCGCGCGTGCGTGCATGACTTATGAAATACATATCTTGCAATAAGTACTACACTTTATATGGTCCCTTTATGACTTTCCTATCTTTATCATCAAAGTAAAACATGATAATATCTAGCTATATATATTTCATTTCATGCATCCGCAAACTTTTATATTCCCGTAATGCGTGAAACATTTGTGAAAACTAGTTACATTTCCTTCTTAATTTACATAAAAATTTACACGCTCCTTTATTCATATCTTTCTTATATTTACATATGCAGATGTATGCTTTCTTATCAAGTGTAGAGCGTGCATGACATCTTATTTATGAATCTCGGAGCGAGAACCTTAGGAATAGGACGCTTCAAGTATTTTCAATCGGCGAGGAAGGATTCGAAAGCAACGGACAAAGACACGTGCGTGTCATGGACGATCTTACTGGAGTTCTGGGTATGGTCGTGGAGAGTATAGAAAAAGAGTGCGAGCGAATGTTTTCAGGCAGTGATAGTAAAAAGTGGCGCGGTATGGTACCGTGTTCCCTCTGCTGTCGCGGGGGCGGCGCGGCGGCACGTCCACGACAGCACCGTGGTGGAGGGGTACGTTTTCATTGATCCACCCCGTGCTACGGAACCGCACCACGCAAGCACTTACAAGCCCTGAACGGAGCATTGATCTCGCCTCGTCACGGTGATACTTGGCATCGCTTCGCCACCAAGGCGAAGACTCGTTTCATCCTAGAGAGAGAGAGAGAGAGAGAAAGAGGAATAGAAAGAGAGATGGAAATCGCGTTTCGCACCCCCGCAGCGTACGAATCGTCTTCGGGCTGTGTCGCGCTGTCGACATAAACGACGACGGTTTTACAGGACGATCGACGGGGATGCGACGGGGGTAGCTCACGTAGCGGATCGCGAATGGGGTATAGAGGGTGTAAAACGGGGCGCCCCGTGACTAGTTGCCGCGGAGTCCGCTGCGCGAAAGACTGGCGCGTGGCGATGCAGTAAGGATCGCGTCGGTTCGACTCGGCACCACGACAGTCGGTATCGAGGACAGAGTCGCCTCCGTGGTACCCCGAAGACGCATCGCCGAGGGAGAAGGAGCACCCCGAGGAAGAAAGTAAAAATTACCGCGGGAGTAAAAAAAGGTGGAAGGCTCTTGGACGAGCGAAAGCCGCGCGTGAGCGAAGGCCTCGGCCTGGCGTTTACCAACGAGCGACCCTTTGTGCCGGCCGCGTCGCTTCGAGGGAGAGACGTCGGGACGCCGAGGAGGGAAAAGAGCGAAGGAGGGTTGAACGAGAAAGCGAGGGAGTGGTGGTAGGTGGGAGAAGAGAGACGGCGAAGGAGGACACAGCGTTCGAGAGAGAGAGAGAGAGAGAGCCTCTAAGGGAGGATCGGAGCAAGAGGGACGAGGAGAACGGATCGTTCGCGCGCGCGCGCGCGATTGGTCGCGTCCGAGCGTATTCGTGTGTATGCTCGCGCGCGCGCGCGTGTGTATGTGTGTGTGCGGTGTGTGCGTGTGTAGGAGCGTGCAGCGGTGAGAGCCGACGAAAGAACAAAGGGAGCGGAGAAGAAGGATCCGCCGGTCCCTCGCTTTCAGGCAGGCCGAGGGAGAACGGCGACGAGCGGCAACGCGAAGCGGCATCCCCCTGCACCGGATCGCAAGGAGAGTAGCCCCGCGTCAACACGGGCGACGCGGCGGTCGGACACGAACGCGTCGACGGGCCTGTCCCCGAGGAAGGGACCGTCGCGCGCAACGCGATCAATTTTCGTTGCGGCGCGCGGGCGGCTAGTAGGACCGTAGGACGGACGCGAGACGAAATGACGAGACAACCGAGGTACCGATAACCGGCCGGATAATGTTGTCGCAGAGCAAGTTTTACGCTCTCTTTATCCACTACACTTTCGTGTAGCGCGACACGGGGCGGGTCCTTGCCGCTGCGGTGAAGAATAGCGAAGGAGGAGGCGTAGGAGGAGAAGAAGGAGGAAGAGGATAATAGCGAAGGAGACTAGAGAAAGAAGGAAGGAAGGAAGGGAAGAGACAGGAAAAGATCGCTCGAACGCGAAGAGCGCCTCGTACAACCGCGTAGCTGCCATCGACGTTGCGAGCAGGAAAAGAAGCGGGATTCCAAGTGGAAGAAACAGACACGGGGCCGGCACACCACGTTCGTTACGTGCCGTGTACGCATGCAGGGGAAAGGACCATCGCGCGACGCGAAATCCGACTGAGTATCGCTGCCACGTCGTCGGTCGTTCTTCTTCCGCATCGTCCATGTGAAAAAAGAGTGTATCCAAGTGTGTTGTCGCACGGTGCTCGGTTGTGCTACCCTTATCTCGACGCTGAACGAGCAAGGCCCGCGGAGGTACCCCAGAACCCGCCCCCCTTCTCCCCTCGACGTCGCAGTGCCTCTCTTCTCTCCATATCGCTACGTCACGCTTCTCGTTTACGTTCGCAGCGGTGACCATCTACGTTGGAGAGTGTTCGACCTCCTCAACCGTAAGTGTCACTCGTGTTACGTTTACGTGTGTCTTTATTTAGACGACGCGGGAGCAGCTGAAGGGGAACGTCGAAAATTCCTTTTCCGACGATGTTTGCGAAAAGTGCTCGGGTTATTTAAACAGTTTGCACAGTTCGCACGTTTCCTACGTCTTCGCGATTGGATCCTCTTCAGCTGTCGAAAAGAAAATTTCTTACGGACGAGACGCGAGGAAAGCTTGAGTCGTCTTTTCGCATGGAAATATCCTCGCACCCTTGGAAAGCTCGTCGAGTTTCCCCTCAAATCGAATCGGACGAGTCGCTCGCTTCAAAGTGTCGTGCATGACGTCTGATATTTCGATGCGCGATAGGATTATAGAGAGATGGCTCCTCTCGATACAAGGATGCGAGGGAATTTGCGATGTAGAATTATGTCGAGATATACGTGCAAATTTTTCGCAATATTTTTCTCTGGGATTTCGGCCAGAGGTCAGTTACATACGATGCAATTTTTTTTTTTTTTATGAAAATTCCATGCATTCCCCCCTCGCTCGATCGACCCCAGCGAACGTTTGACGCGACTTGTTGTAGGAATTTTTGTTGAATACATCTTTTGAAAAATTCTGAGATGCGTATGCGGTTACAATGTGACACGATGGGCTGCTTGACATTCATGCTAGAACCAGGGGCGTAGCTACTTTAAATATAGCACAAGCGAGCAAGGTGCAGAGGCATGCGGCGCGAATACGAGGGCGTACATTATAATCATACATATTAATGAGATAATGATTGGCGTAACGTGGCTAATGACATATCCGTCGTGCATAACTGGCGCATTTACAGTGATAGCAGAATCAGTTTGGCATCCAATGTCAGAAGAACATAAATTGAAATTAGATTCTTCCTGAAAACGAAACCGATTGGAAAACCAACCATTTTTTGGCGAAGAAAACATGAAATATCTAGAGCAGCAATTTTCCTTTCCCAAGCCAGTTTTATTCGCGTCATTCGGAGTTCTTGAAACCTCGCGGAAGCCTTTTATCCCCGAGACCTAATGACACCCTCGAAAAAAATATTCAACCGACTCATTACTCCTTTCTGGTTGGGAAGGTGCACCAGGTATAATAACACGTTGGATACGTTACATAATGTTGCGGTGTCGCGACATCAAAGGGTTTCCGATCGAGAGTAAAGGGGATGATTTATGACAATCGTCGCGATGATCCAAGTGAACCTACGTGTTGTCCCCCGATAATACATATGCCCATTGTATATCGTGCACGTTAGCGTGACGCGCGGCTCTGCCGCGGCGACTGCCATTCCCGATATATCGATCGACGCTACCGCGGTTCAGGGATCGGTCTCGCGACGATGGTGATCGGCGCGAGGACTGTCCTGACGCGTCCAGGATTTAGAGAGATGTGGCTTTTCCACGTTTAACTCGCGATATCGATCGATAACGTATATCTGAAACCCTCCCTTCTGGCATCTTGGGCTAACAAACTATAATCCATATTCACAAGGTAGAATAAGCATGATATAAGAGGTCTGCGTTCTGTTTATAGACGCGCTTTTTTATAGTTTTCAACTTGAGCAGCCGATATATACAAGAGAGAGGGAGAAAGAGAAAAGGATTAGATAGAGAGAAGCAATATCTATTCTCTTGTTGAGCATACATGATGCGTTGTGTATACTTTTATAAGTGTGCAGAGAATATGTTTCGGTTAAAAATATTTTCCGAGCGAGTCGTAGCTTAATATTACACTTGGAGAATTCAGAGCTTACGATATTCAGGGTGATGAATACCAAATTTGCATTGTGAAGTTGGATGTTCCAAAGTTGGCGCGTGTCTAGTAGATCAGATACTATGAATACTATGAATCTCTGATACTATTGTGCTTTCGGTAAATATCTTTCACGCTCTCTTGTATGATATTAATCCAAAACTCTTACGTTTAGATGTATCGAACTCCAGATAGCTATTATAGGATGATCACTAAAAATCTATACATAATTTAAATAAACGCAAGAGAAAGAGGGCAAGCTGGAGACGAAGAAATTGTATAATCCGGATGGTATTAATGTTCGGAAAATTGATTAGAGCCTCGAGAATTTTAATTAGCGTGATAAGACTCCACTATTTACGTAGGAACGACAGGAGTGATTAATGCCGATTCGACTCGGTTGTGTTAATCGATTACGTCGCGATTACGGCAATGATTGTGACATGTCTGGTAGCTCCGGTGACCTTCCTCCGTGCGAAAATTGTCGGTCAATACGAGCTGCACGATCCGCTTAAGAGCGATGGTATCGATCACCGCGTCGTGCACGACGACGCCTCGGAGGACTTTCTCCCACGAGGAAGCGTGCGACTAGCGTCGTATGCTATAACGTGGGCCGTTTATTCTCTGGAGCAGCGTAACCACGAGTAGTTTGCCCATCACTTTCGCTACCACTTGTACCACTCACGCGTAAGTGCGCGACGCGAGTTTTATTATCTCGCTCGCTGCTAGTCAGACATCGAAAAGAGCACATTGGCACGCGTTAAACGACTTACCTATCGCTAGGTGTGCATATGATTTTTTTTCAAGGACATCTCTATAATTATATATCGGCCGCTTGGAGCTCTATGCGCCGCAAAGAGAGGATCTTTCATCAATAATGCATTAATTGCCAAGACAATTGATGTGCGATATATCGCGACGGATAACATTCTTCCGTGTGATTTCTTCTAAAGGAAGTACCTCTCTATACATTTCGAATTGACTGAAAACATTGGAAGTGTCACGCGAGACACTCCGCGCAACTTTTCGCCTCGAAGTCGATCGACGAAAAAATTCGGAATGAAAATGATGAAAATCGGATTCGGGTCGCACAGTATACATAATTACGGGCCGCGATAATGACGGTTCTTCGTGTCTGGCAGCATACTTGAACTTCCAGCAGCTCGACTCGCTGCGTAATCGTGCGTGAGCAGACGTAACTTACGTCATCGTCCATTGAAGGCGACACAGGGCCGTAGGCGCGCGTCACCATCGGCTCTTCTTTGTGTAACGCATAACGGCACGGATATTCCTCTCTATTGACGTAACTCGCGCGCGCTCAGAGGGGCGAATTCCTCAGATAGGCGGATTCCTCGATTCCGCGCATACTCGCGCGCTCCGCTCGCGATTCCGCGAATACGGATGCGTCGCGAGAATAATTGATACTGTCGACCGCGTTTTCTTGAAATCTTTTAAAAGTTTGATAAATCATCCTTCGGCATAAATAAACGATCGATAGGGCGTAATGTCAAGGGTCGCGTCATATGCTTTCGCGCGATCGCCGATCCGTGCTAAAATAAGAAGTTAGTTTCCGCGTTAAACGGCACGCTTGGAGAAAAGGGGAGAGACGAGGGTAAATACGATCCCTTGTTGCGTCGAATATAGCCGGGGAGTTTTTGATAAGGCCCAAGTTTTGTATCATTGTATAAAATTATTCATTGATATATACAGGGTGTTTCTTAATAAGTGCGAAAAATCTTACGATGATTCTTTGTCGAAAGTTAAGGGGGGTTTTTCATATAACATATACTTCTACATCCTTCCCTCTGGAGTTACACTCCTCCAAAAATGAAGGTAAAAATTAGGTTTTTATTTTTTTTTTCAAATTTGGAACAAGTTAAAGAAATGAAATTAGATTATTAGGATATTTTTTACTAGTAAAAAGGTTATTTATTAATATTTTTTTCAGTCTCCCGTATTGTTATAAGGGGATGAAACTAGCAACCCCTATTCAATTTTCTATTAGAATTTTTTAATAGGCCGGAATATGATTAAAAGTCTGTATTAAAAAGTTTGGTTTATTTAGAAACTTTTTTATTTCTTTTATTTTTTTCATAAAATCAGTAGTTTTTAAGAAAAAAATACAATACGTTATATCGTACACAACACGATGCTAAATAGCATAGGTTTCGAATTACGAGAAGTTAAATTTTAAAATAAAAATAAAATTAGAGTAAATGTTGGGAAAATTGGAATAAAAAGAAAATTATTAAAATTAATACAAACCTAAAAAATAAAAATCTAATTTTTGGAGAAGTGTAATTCCACATGGAAGAAATGTAGGAGTATATGTTTATATGAAAAACCCCCCTTAATTTTCAACAAAGAATCATGTAAAATTTTTCGCGCTTACTAAGAAACACTCTATATTTATTATCAGCTGATATCATTTTTATTTTTTTTATCGCTATTTAGTTGAACAAGAAGAAAATAATTTTTATATTTTCATATGTTGTTGTTTAAATTATATTTTTTCCTTCTTATTCAGCAATTGTTTAAATGTAATATTCTCTCTTTTTCTCTGTCTTTGTATGTGTCGATGTATATGTACTATTAAATATAACAAAAAAAATGTTTTGCTTGCAATTTATAACATTTAAATTATTTAGGAAATTAACTTTCTATTAAAACAAAGATGGGAAAGAGGAATTGACATGGAATTTACCCTTCCATTCAGGATTAAAACATCCCTAATTTTTAATGGACGATGGTAGATAAGGCCTTTGAAAATGCGCAGACGCAGAAAAAAGGGTGAAAAAGCGAGAAGGGAAGGGGTGGGTTTTGCGGGGCGAACGAACGCAACAGGTGCGCTACGCTTCCCTTCATCCGTGTCGTCCTCGAGTACAAGTGTACTCCGAGAGACTCGCGTACAAGTGTACCGAAGAGTAAAGTTTCTTCGAATTTCGTGGACATCAATAATCCTCTGTCCCTCAGGAACGTTTCATTTCTAACTGGCGAACTTTATTCTATCTTCCTATCCCATTAGTACCGAACTATAGAGAATACAACGCGTGTCAAGATGTCAAAATATCTTCTCACCTCTGCATTCTATGAATGTTCTAACTTGTTTTCGAAGAAGACAGCATGTTGCTGTTCGCTACGGGCATTATTATTATGATTTTGAGAACAATATATATGTTGTGGATCAAATTTATTATATCAATATAAATAGAATATTTTTTTCTTTCTCCTCCTCCT